AGGTTATTAAGAACAAAGATAGAGAACAATTGAGATAATAAAGAGAGAGTTGAGTTGAGAGAGAGAGAGAGAGAGAAGAACGAACTCAGAATTAAGGATAAGAGGAGAATACTATTTCATTCCTGATGATTATTCATTATTACATCCTTCCCTTTTTATACAATTCAGCTACAGGTTTTGTGCACGTGCACAGCACAACAGAATTAACAGAATGAACAGAATTAACTACTGTAACTGAACACTTAGCATTTATTACAAGATAAGTCCCTTTATTAGAGACTTTGCAGATTAACCCCTCCAACTGTATTTCTCGTGTATCAATCCATGTTCATGTGTATGTGTTCCCAACTGCACTCGTTTCCAGCACAAGTCTTCCACTGGTGTCTTCCTTTATTCTAGCTTAAACATCAGCTCCATAACTTGCTCCAGCTCCTAACAAATTCCCTCCCCTTAATTTGGACCTTGTCTCAAGGTCAAAAGTAGGGAATCTCTTGATTAAATCCCAATAGGATTCCCAAGTAGAATCCACAACAGGACGTTGTTTCCATTTAATGAGAACTTGTGAAATCAAATGTTTCCCTTGGACCACTGATCTTCTATCCAAAATCTTTTCAGGTTCATCAATTATCTCAGTTACATAACTAGGAAGATCAACCTGAAGAACCACCTCAGACCCAACCTTCTTCTTCAATTGAGACAAATGGAAAACTGGATGTATTTGAGACTGAGCAAGGAGAGCCGGCTTATAAGCAACCTCACCAATTTTTTCCAAGATTTGATATGGTCCTTAATACTTGGAAGATAGCTTGTGGATCTTGCATGATGACACACTAACTTGCCTGTAAGGTTGTAGTTTTAAGAAAACACAATCCCCTACATTAAAGTTCCTGTAATTTCGATGTACATTAGCAAATTTATACATCTGCTCAGCTACCTTCTTCAAGTTGTCCTTGAGGATTTGTAGAGTGATATCTCTGAAAAAGAGTGCTTCATCAACTGCCTCAACCTTACAACTTTTAGGTACATATGATAGCAAAGAAGGAGGTTGTCTACCATACACCACCTCAAAAGGAGTAACCAATGTTGAACTCTTCCAGCTTGTGTTATACCAGAATTCAGCAATGGCCAACCATTTGCTCCACTCCTTTGGTTTATGGCAACAAAAGCATCTCAAATAATTCTCTAAACTTTTGTTAGTGATTTCAGTTTGGCCATCAGTTTGTGGATGATAGTCTGAACTGAATTTGAGTTGACTCCCTTGCAATTTAAACAATTCTCTCCAAAACATGCTAGTGAATAAGGGATCCCTATCACTCACTATGGATTTAGGCATGCCATGTAACTTGAATATAGCTTCAAAAAATACTTGAGCTACTGACTGAGCTGTGTATGGGTATGAAAGACCAAAGAAGTGTGCATACTTCGATAACCTGTCAACAACAACAAGGATAGCAAAATTATTCCCACTCTTTGGTAGATGTGTAATGAAATCCATAGAGATATCTTCCCAAACACAATCTGGCATAGGTAGAGGTTGTAAGAGTCCTGGGGATGCTACATTCTCTTCTTTAGCTCTTTGACATATATCACAAGCCTGCACATAACCTTGAACATCCCTTTTCATTCCTTTCCAGTAAAAAGCCCTTCTCAACCGGTGTAGAGTTCTAGTGACTCCATCTTCCTATGGACATGCACCAACTGATACAGGAGTTTCAGGTGATATTTCATGAACTACCCCATCTTCCTCCTCATAGACATGACTAATAGATTGACCTGAATTTTCACTCCCTGACAATCCAACATTATTCCCTGACAAACTCCAGCTCCTTTAATCAACTCCCCACTAGCCACCAAGACATTGAAATCATTGGATTCTGTCACATTTAATCCCAGCCTTTTGACTAATTTGGCATTAATAAAATTGTGAGTTGATCCAGAATCTATCAAGATACTAATTGCTTGATTCTTGTAGTAACCCACTACCCTTATAGTATGAGAAGCATTGATCACACTCAAGGCTTGAACTGAAATAGAAGGAGCTCCTTTGACTAAACTTTCAGCTAACTCTAGTGCCATAGTGTCTTCTTCAATCTCCTCACCATTCTCTTCACCTTCTGCATTTTCTGCCAGGCCTCCTTCTAATATACCTTCTAATATAAATAATTGTTTTCCCTTGCACTAGTGCCCTCTATGCCACTTCTTATCACAAGTGAAACATAGATTCTGACTTCTTCTTATTTGTATCTCATCAGGGGTCATTTTCTTGAATTGAGAATTTGAACGAGAGTTATCTTTGATAGGAATATTATGAGAGATATTAACTGACTGCCCTCCTGGGTTGTACACATTCCAGTTTCCCCTAGGTTTCCTTTCATTCTTTTGCTTATCTTCAAACAACTTAGCTAATGAGACTGCTTCTTTTAAAGAATTGGGTCTGGTTGCCGCCACTTCATATCTCAACTCATCTTTAAGCACCCCAATGAACCTTTCAAGTATGTGTCTCCTAGAGGGTTGGTCATTTAACAGACCTAAGGCTTGTTCAAACTTTCCAAGATACTCTCTAACTGTAGTGGTTTGCTTCAAGGTA